GTCAGAGTGTCAGGCTGCCCAGACTCAAGTCTTTGCTTCAGTTTAGAGGGTGCAAGTCTAGGCAGGTCGTCTACTTAATTTCTCTCTCTCTTTTCATCTGTAAATAGAGATGCAAATCATTTAAGTTTTTTTAATAAAAATAATTTATTGTATATTTATCTCCTGAAAACCCACCTGGCTCACAGTCTCTTCCTTGCTCTATTTCTTGCCCCTCTTCTTTCCTTTCTCCTTCTCTTCTTCCTCTTTCTCTTCCCTCCTCTTGCTCCCTCCTCCACCTCATTAGTTTTCTCCACCCTTCTCTCCCCTCCTCCTCTTGTTCTCCCTCCACCTTCTCATTGTCCTTCTGTGTCTCCCTTTTGTCCCTTCCTCCTTACCTTCTACTCCTCATTGGCTTTTTTCCTACGTCTCCTGTCCATCCTCTATGTCCTGTGTATGTCACTCTTTCTCATTAGTATTTTGTGTTGAAAGCAATAGACTACCAAGGGCTTCAGCTACTGAATCTAGTCGGTTCATATTAAGCAGGCTAGCAGTTGTGCTATGCTTAGCAGTTTCTGTAGGTTTGGACTCTTTAACTTCAGGTTTACTTATTGGCCGTTGGCTTGTGGCTTGAAGGTTTTTTCCCCTTCGTTATCGACTGTTACTAGTGATTATGTTGGAGTCCTTTTGATGTGGAGGCGGCTGTCTTCACCATGGCAACATTCTGAGCATGTCTAACAATGACTGATCTTTGTCTTTCTTCCCTTATTAAATCTTTAAAATATTTTCCTTATATTTTTACTTTGAGAATCTAACAGAGTGTCAGGTAAAACCTGTAGCTAGGAATTTATAATATAATTCTGGTCCCAGAAACTTCTCACTCTCAGCTGGGATGAGCACATCATCCATTAATTCATGTTCTTGCCATTGTATTGCTCCCCAGTAGAGACCCACAGAGATTTCCTAGTGAGAACTTACTTAGGGTCTGAGAATGTGAATTTACTTTACCCAGCAGGGCTGCCTAAGTGGATGATTTGACCATGGGCATAGTTACCAGACAGTTGGAAAGGTCTGCACTTGGCCATGCAGTGTGCTTTAACCTAGCAAGAGGGAGGTCTTTTGCCCTGCCTCTTGCCATTGTTATAAAAAGCTCCTTTGAAGAGGCAGAAGTGGCCATTGGGTTTTGTTCCTGGTCCTCCAGAAGCTATCCTGTGTTTCTGTCTTTCTCCTCTTAGCTATCTTTCTGTCTAATGTTTTCTTATCCCTCTCTCCTCCTCATAGGAACCCTTGAAAAGGTGGGAGCTGGCCTCCCACACTCCTGTTAGAACAGCACTTAGCTCTGGTTCTCTGACTCTCCAGCCATGAGTGTGGTGGTTGGTGCAGTAACCTCAGTACTCTGATGGTTCAGGAAAGTCATTTATTTTTAATTTTTCTCTCATTTCTACTTGAAGCATGGAAGTGACAGACCAGCTTTTATTATGTATCTGGAACCAGAAATCCCAGCTATGACATTTTACTTTCTTGCATAAAATAAAACAACAAAAGGAGAGTGTCCCTTTATTGGCACTCTTGGCCTTTGTTTATGGGGCTGCTTATGCCTGCCTGTTACTGTCATCTCTCTTTTTTTTTGGTTTTTCAAGACAGGGTTTCTCTGTGTAGCTTTGCGCCTTTCCTGGAACTCACTTGGTAGCCCAGGCTGGCCTCGAACTCACAGAGATCTGCCTGCCTCTGCCTCCCGAGTGCTGGGATTAAAAGCACGCGCCACCACCGCCCGGCTTACTGTCATCTCTTACAGAACCCTTCCTTGCTCGTTTTAACCATTGGAAATTTGGTCAGTGGCATCACCAAATTAAACCTAACTACCTGGGCCAGATCAGTGTGCTTTTGTATGTATCTATATATTTTAAGAAAATTAAAAAGTGATTTTTTATAGCATGTGTTTTGTCTCCATGTATTTGAATCAAGTATGTCCAGTGCTCACAAGAAACAGAAGAGGGTATCATATCCCCTAGAATTGAAGTTACAGATGGCTGTCTGTGAGCCACCATGTGGTTGCCAGAAACTAAACACAGGTCTTCCATTAAAGCAGCCAGTGGTCCTAACAACTGAGTCATCTCTCCAGCAACCAATATGCTAGTGGACAGGGATTTATTCAAACTATGATGGAATATTAGCATATTTTTATATCAAATTAAATTCACCAGTATTAAAAGATTTAAGCCATTTATCAAAGTGACCAGTGCCATTTTCCTTTCTTTCTTAGCAATTCACTTTGGCACACTTTAATTCCCAGTCAGAGTGTAGTGGCTAGTCTTGATACTTTTACAAAAGTTAATTAAGAAAAATAAGAAATAGAACTGAGAATGGAAGCATGGAGTTCACTCTGTTTTCCTAAAAGTTCTAAGAAGACTTAAACATGAAAAGGTTTAAAGAGACAGTTAACAATGTTTGCAGATTATCTTTTTACAGATAATTACAGACTCCAGTTTGTCTCAACAAACAAGGTGGTCAGCTATAGAGGAACACAGCTGAGGTTGACCTGTGGCCTCTACACATACTAGCATGTAAGCACAACCCAAATTGTCCATAACATTGTAGAGATCATAAACAAATTGTACAAAATGAAAAACAAAAATAGTTGAGGCAAAATAGTACCAAATAAAGTCTACATTTCCGATTCTTGTATAAGTTTGGAGAAGTTACTTGAACAAATAGAGGCCATTTGAATTGGATTTCTTAAAGATCTTAGTTCCTCAGCAGGTGGAACCAGTCTTTTTTTTTTTTTTTTGAATTTATTTTAATTTATTTTGCAATACAATTCAGTTCTACATATCGGTCACGGATTCCCTTGTTCTCCCCCCTCCCGTCCCCCTCACCTTCCCCCCAATGCCCCCCCCCACCATTCCCATCTCCTCCAGGGCAAAGCCTTCCCCACAGACTGAGGTCAACCTGGTAGACTCAGTCCAGGTAGGTCTAGTCCCCTCCTCCCAGGCCGAGCCAAACAATCCTGCATAGGCCCCAGGTTTCAAACAGCCAACTCATGCAATGAGCACAAGATCTGGTCCCACTGCCTGGATGCCTCCCAAACAGATCAAGCCAATCAACTGTCTCACCCATTCGGAGGGCCTGATCCAGTGTGGACCCCTCAGCCATTGGTTCATAGTTCATGTGTTTCCATTCATTTGGCTATTTGTCCCTGTGCTTTATCCAACCTTGGTCTCAACAATTCTCGCTCATATAAACCCTCCTCATTCTCGTTAATTGGACTCCCAGAGATCCACCCAGGGCCTAGTCATGGATCTCTGCATCCAGATCCCTCAGTAGTTGGATGAGGTTTCTAGCACAACAATTAGGGTGTTTGGCCATCCCATCACCAGAGTAGGTCAGTTCGGGCTGTCTCTCGACCATTGCCGGCAGTCTGTTGTGTGGGTATCTTTGTGGATTTCTGTGGGCCTTTCTAGCACTTTGCTTCTTCCTGTTCTCATGTGGTCTTCATTTACCGTGGTCTCCTATTCCTTGTTCTCCCTCTCTGTTGTTGATCCAGCTGGGATCTCCAGCTTCCCCAAGCTCTCTTTCCCTCGACCCTCGCCTTTCATTACCCCCACTCATGTCCAGGCTGTTCATGTAGATCTCATTCCATTTCTCTGTCATTGGGCAATCCCTGTGTCTTTCTTGGGGTCCTGTTTTCCGGGTAGCCTCCCTGGTGATGTGAGTAGCAGACAATTCATCCTTGTTTCATGTCTAGTATCCTGCTATGAGTGAGTACATACCATGTTTGTCTTTCTGAGTCTGGGTTACCTCACTCAGGATGATTTTTTCTAGATCCATCCATTTGTCTACAAACCTCATGATGCCATTGTTTTTTTCTGCTGAGTAGTATTCCATTGTGTATATGTACCACATTTTGTTTATCCATTCTTCAGTTGAAGGGCATCTGGGTTGTTTCCATGTTCTGGCTATTACAAACAATGCTGATATGAACATAGCTGAACAAGTGCTCTTATGGTGTGTCAGAATGGCTAAGATCAAAAACACTGAAGACACCTTATGCTGGAGAGGATGTGGAGCTAGGGGAACTCTCCTCCACTGCTGGTGGGAATGCAAGCTTGTACAACCACTTTGGAAATCAATATGGCGCTTTCTTAGAAAATTGGGAATCAATCTCCCCCAAGATCCAGCTATACCACTCTTGGGCATATACCCAAGAAATGCTCAACCACACCATAAGAGCACTTGTTCAGCTATGTTCATATCAGCATTGTTTGTAGGAACCAGTCTTACAATGACCTGACGGCTCCTGATTCTTTGGGGGCTGTAAGACCAGCTTGAAGAGTCTTGGCTGTGTTTCTCTGATTCTACTATTGCTGACTGAATATTGCATAAGAGCCTCAGAATGGATCTTGTGGAGTTGAGTCCTTTGGGATATAACCAGTTAAAGAGGGTGGAACTGTCATGAAAAGGGTTAGTATCCACAGAAAGGGCTCCTTCTCTTTTGCTCACACTTTCTGTCTCATTGGTACAGATATTTCCTATCTTGTGAGAGCAAACCTGCCAGTGGAGAGAATGTGGACTTCCTGCCCTCTGCAGCTGCCAGAATATTCTTGTTTTGTAAGTGTCTCTATCTGTGATATTCTCATTAGAGTAGTTTAAGCTATTAAACATGTTGTTACACAGAAATAAAAAGACTATTAACATGAAATGTGAAATGGGCACAGTCAAGTTCAGGCTTATTTCTGGAGGATGTCAACATTTAGTGCTAAGATGGTGATAATAATTGTTTACATTTGCTAAAAATAGCTAATTCTACTTACCGAGTTTAGAGACTAAAGGTTTGCATTCTCCCCCACGCTGGGGTCCTAACCGAGTTATGCTTTGTGCATAAACGTATTGTGATGGTGCGCAGTATGATGTCAAAGTTGTTAAGATATTTTGGGCAACTGAACACAGAGATTTGAGAAACTGAATAGAGAGTGGGTCCTCCAGTCAGATAGTTAAAAAAACAAAATTTATTAATTAGCAGGGAGACAACAAATCTTTATTGCCACAGGAAATGTTCTGGCATAACAAGTCACTGACAGAAGACTACAAAACCATCTTTAGCAATTAAAATGCATTTTTATCTCAAAATGCATCCATAATAATATATAAGTCAATTGAGAGTATAGCAAATTTACTTGTAATATTTTAAGCATTCACTGGGAACATACCAGCTAAGCAGAACAGGTAAACAGGTAAGGTAACTGAAGACCTTCAACATTCCCTCCTTCCCTCCAAATCCAATACCCTAGTCTCATCCCTATAGTTGCAACAGAATACCAGCTGACACTTTCTTTCCCTCATGTACACATTTGCTGTGGATCCTACAGAGCATCCCAGCCTAACCTTCCTCACCACACATGGTCTCTTTACCCCAGCCCCAAACTACAGCAGGCACCCTCTTCTAACCCACAGGCCTTGCCTGCCAGCAAACAAGGTAGCCTTCCAACAGACCTCTTCTCTCCCTGTTCACCCAGAGCCTGTCTCTCAGTCTCATACCCAGCTTTGCAGCAGAACACATCAGACAGTCTTTCTGGCCTCCAGCTCCTATCTCCTGTGAATCAAATAGATCTTCCACTTCTAACCTCCCTCACCTCACTCTTTGCTTTGCCCCAGACCCTCACCCCAGCAGGCATCCCCTGCTAATCTATAGTCTACTCTTTCCAGGGAAGCAAGTAGGCTGAAGACAGATCTGTTGCTGGATCCTAATAGCTCCCTTGGGGGAGGGGGTGAGAAGGCGTTATGTCAACAACATAGATACCGGGAGTTAGTTGAAGGCAAACAGCAGACTCCTTTATTCAATAATGGGGAAGGCCTTATATACTCTCCTCTCAGCACCCAAGCTGTGTCCCAATTTGGTGGCATTGAATGGTTGTCACTCATTGTCTGGGCATAATCAGGAACTCTAACAGTGCCTGTTGTTGGGCCCTCAGGCAGACTCCAGGTTGGCTCAAAAGAAGTAAGTTATGTGCATGCCATGGCAACTGGTTTGAACCAATTTCCTCAACCCTATGGGTCTGTCCTACTATACAGACCCATACTTTTACTACCACTTCAGAGATGTAGCAAGTTTTTCTTTGGACTTCATGTTCCCCAATAATGACACAGAGACTTGTTATTAATTAAGAATGCTTGGCCTTAGCTTAGGCTTGTTCCCTTGCTCTTATAATTTAAAGTAATCAATTTATATTAATCTACATTCTGCTGCATGGCTCATAACTTTTCCTCCATCCAGTATATTTGACAGCCAGACATTACCCACAGAAAGTCTATGTGGGTTGTCTCTATCAAATCCTTCTTGTCAGAGATCAGCGAATCCCTTGGAAGAGGAGAAGGAAAGATTGTGAGAGTCAGAGTGGATGGGAGGATACCAGGAGAACAAGGTGCTCTGAATCAACCAAACAAGGCACATATAAGCTCACAGAATCTAAAGCAGCAAGCACAGGCCCTACATGGATCTGCACCAGGTCCTCTGTGTATATATGATAGCTATTAGCTTTGTATTTCAATGAGACTCATGACTGTGAGAACAAGTGGGTCTCTGACTCTTGTGTCTGCTCTTAGGACTCTTTTCTTCCTGTTGGGTTTCTGTGTCCAACTTTGATATATTTTTGCATCATCTTATTGTATATTATTTTGCCATGTTTGGTTGTTACCTCTTAGAAGCCTCTATTTTTCTAATGAGAGACAGAAAGGAAGTGGCTCCAGAGTGTAGAAGAGGTGGAGAGGAACTGGGAGGAATAGAGGGAGGGTAAAAGTTAATCAGGATACATTAGATGAGAAAAGAATCTATGATTCTTTTCTATGCTGTGGGATGTTCTGTATGGCAAATGTGTTGCTGATTAGTCAATAAATAAAACACTGATTGGCCATTGGCTAGGCAGGAAGTATAGGCAACTGAAGTTGCCTATACTTCAAATTGTATGTTTCTAATCTATGCTGTGGGATGTTCTGTATGGCAAATGTGTTGCTGATTAGTCAATAAATAAAACACTGATTGGCCATTGGCTAGGCAGGAAGTATAGGCAGTACAAGGAGGAGAATAAGGCTGGGAAGTGGAAGGCTGAGTCAGAGAGACACTGCCAGCCGCCACGATGAGAAACAGCATGTGAAGATGCTGGTAAGCCACGAGCCATGTGGCAAGGTATAGATTAATGGAAATGGATTAAATTAAGCTGTAAGGACTGGCAGGTGAGAGAGATTTATCCTGACTGTGGGCCAGGCAGGAAAACTCTAGCTACAAATCTATTTTCAATAAAACGAAAAAAAGTAATTTAATCAGTGCTCTCTAGTGATGGACAGTTTTTGTTATCATGGTTCCTTATAATTACTTTCTCTCTATGAAATATGTTTGAAATTATAAATTATAGTTTGCACAGTCTCTCTTAATTGAAATTTAAGGCATAAATTTTTCATATGTGAACTTTAATTCATTGCAACATTTTATTTAAAATAAAATTGCTTTAAAGTAGAATTTATAATGTGACTATTTCTATTAATGATTAATCTATATTTTTTTTTTCATTTATTTTTCACCATAAATGTTTCAGATGGTTAAACATAATGTAAAATACTAGTTAACTTTTTAAATGCCAATTATAATGGTAGAAAAAACACTGTTACTCAGTATAAAATGTTAATGATTTATAAGTCATTGTCAGTTTTTTCAAGTTTCTTGAAGTAGTGAGCCCTCTTGACAGAACAAATACTATGAATATTTTGAGAATATAATGATGTGCATGCTGCTGAACAGATTAAACAGTAAACACTCACATTGAAAGAAGGAGCAGTTACTTCAGAAGTTTTTGGTGATGTGTTCACAAGGACTATGAGTGTGCAACAACACTACATAATGCAGATTGCTGAAATTCATCTCATATGATACAGGGAACCCCCTGGGGTGGTCTCAAGTACATTCAGTAATAATTGCATTGCTCTGAGCTGTTAGTTGATACTTTCCAGCTGGGACATGCAAAGTGTTCTCTTGTACACTGTGCTTCTGTCACATTCTAAGAGGGGTGTGGTGTCATCTGAAACCTTTCCAGAACTTAGACACTGTGAGTTCATGCTTGCACCAGCTACGTTCTGTAAAGTAGATAATATTTCATATCTGGTCTCTCCATCTTCTTGCTATTACATTCTTCCCACTTCACTACTTCCTCTGTGTTTTTTCCTTTTTTCTTTTGAACATTAAAAGGGATGGTGTAAATGTCTTGTTAGGACCCAGCATTCAGTTGTCACTTTTTTCCAGCACCAAAGTAGCCATAATTCTCTCCATTCACCAGGATTCACTACCAAGAGAGGATTTTCTAGTGAATTAATGGACACTTAGAACAGCATATGTCTGTGGATATAAACCTAGATGTTTAAAAGGCAGTTTGAGACTATGTCAGTGTTGCTGAATGACAGTAGTAAGTTCTACCCTAAGGCCTATGACCTCCCCAGTCATGTGTTTTTGAATGGGTTTAGAGTAAAAGACATGGATTCCCTCCTATGCAGCCAGTCTAAAAATCGAATCAAAGAGCAGTTGGTCACTACCATAACAGCCATAGCATTATTGCCCAAATAGGCTCATATTGCCTGGCTGGTTGATATTGTAGTTCATAAGATGCACAGATAGTTAAGAACATGGATGCCTTTTTTCCCTCAGCAACTTGCATGGCTCCCTCCAAGATTAAGAGAGCTAGGCAGCAGGGAGGATACTCCTAGCTCAGTTCCAGTTTGATTTCTCTGTTTTACAACCAACATATACAGTGTCTTCAACAAAAGAATTTTATTTTCTAGTTCTGGTGGACAACCAAGATGAATGTCAAGAGCATATATATATATATATATATATATATATATATATGTGTGTGTGTGTGTGTGTGTGTGTGTGTGTGTGTGTGTGTGTGTGTATAGTGTGTGTATACATGTATATATATGTATATATAGTCAAGAGTATGTATAATATATGTTCATATGTATTCTAATTCAATGTGCCTCTTCCTTAATGTTTTGTCTTTAATATATAAAACATATGTTATTAGGTTAGGGGCCTGGACCTCTGTGACCAAAACATCATAAGTAAGTATCCCACATCTAGTACTGGAAAGTTTTTTAATAATACATGGCTTTTAATAGCACCATTATCCAACTCTACAGGGTATTTCTAACTCTTTGTAGATTTATGTAATTTTTATTTATGTGTTTGTATGGATGTCTATATGAGAAGTTGTGCACAGTGGCTGGAAAAGAGTATCACAACCCTTGGATTTGGCATTACAAGTAACTATGAACTACCAGATATGGGTGTTAGAAACTGGAACTCATATCCTCTGAAAGAGTAGCAAATACTCTTTACCCCTACCTAAGTCTTCTCCTTAGTCACCTGACTCTTTTAAATTATATTTTTAATTGAGTTACAAAATAGGCTTAAATGTGGCTTTATTATCTTATACATATAATTCTAATTTTAAAGGATTTTCTATTAGTTATTAAATCTAACAATTTGTGTACTATTTACATGCTAATAGTCATGAAAATTTTCTATTTCAATGTGCCTCTTCCTTAATGTTTTGTCTTTAAATTTTCTATGATGTTTTAGAAATATGGCATTAAATATTTACTGGGACTTATCCAAATTATAGATAATAAATACATAAAATATATTCAATAGTAAAATGTGTATAATCCAGTTTGAGGCTCCACAGCTTCAGAACAGCTATACAAACCTTACAGAAGATCAAGAGTTGTATAGACTTTAGGCCTGGTCAATTTGGGTGCATGATGTCTTTGATTTGCAAGCTCTTTATGAAAAATTTTAATAATGGAATTAATAATTTTAAGGTATTTTGTTTAGTAAATAAAATTATTACATTATCCTGTATTTGTTAACAGAATCTAGAGCCATGTCTCTCTAAAAATGTACTTGTACAAAAAGAAGAGAAAGATTGTTTTAAGAGAAGGGGTCACTAGTTGTTTTCTATTTCTTTTCCTGGGACAAGTTAGTCTATATAATGTGAAACTACTTATATAAACACAAATGATAAACCACATTATTTTAAGCATTGTTGAAATAGAGATAACAACTCCCACAATTAAAAACTCCACAAGGCTAATTCCAACTTCAGGATGATCCCAAGCAGCATTAATGACATTTCTGTTAAAAACAAAACAAAAAGAAATGAGTCACTGTTGTTCATTTTTCCTGAAAAATGGGGGACATTTTAACAATGTCATTATTGCATACAAAGTAATGCACTTATTGGTCCACCTGCACAGGATGCTGAGGCAGGAGGATTATGTAATTTTAATATGTCATTCTGGACAACACAAAAGACCCTCCTTCAAAAAAGCAAAGCAAAGCAAAGGAAACTAAAGCAGAGAACATTTTAATTTTGGATATAGGTTCAAGAACATTCCTAGCTCACTAGGAGAATGGAATTCCAAGGACACTCTTGTTAATCTTCTTCTTTGTGTTGTTTCATAGCAAACCCACATGTTGGTCCACTTTATTCCATACCAAAGAAATCTGCATTTTTGTAGGTATGATAACCTACCCCCACTTTTTCTGCAGACCGTTGGGTTCTCCCTTCCTGGTCCTGAACATTGTACCACCTCTGGCCCTGTCACCTATGGTCTAGATCTTAGGTTCTCACTCTGTGCTCATGGTCTTTGAGTACTGGCACTCTCTCAGCCTCATTGCTGACCTATATTTCCCCACTGAACCCATAACATTCATCTGAATAAGATAAATTACCCATACTATTCATGTGCACAAGGTTGTGGATCCTTATCACAGTTCCTCAGAAAAGGTAATTGCACAGTGGGATATACTTATCACTACTCTTTAGTTAAAAGACACTTTTATGATGCCGTTTAAATAGCTTCATAAATTCTTTAAAACATTTTTCCATTTGCTTCTATCTCCAATTATATTTATAGTCTAATTCACCTTTTCTACTCATTGATGAGCAAACTCAACACATTTAGAGGTGTTAAGGTGGACTTTTGTTGGATAAGGGGAAATCTAACATTATCTGAGATAGAGTATTTTTGAACATGATTGAACAGAGTAAAACTAGAACCAACTGGACAAGATAACAGATACATGTCATTTGCTAAAATGGCATATTCAACATATTGCAACAAAATATTCTTTGTCCAATATCCCTTGGAGTTTTAGCAAATCTCAGTGAAATGTGTTGATCTTTGATTACGTTAAATACTCAATATGCCTTGGCTGCTATCCATCCCTGCTTCTTATGTCTAGAATACAGCCATACCAGACACCACCCAGAGATTGATTCTGAGACCTTTTTATTTTTCTATCTCCACTGTTAAGACTCTAGGCCAAGCCATCATTCTCAATGGCTATAATTTGTCTCTCAGTTTCTGTTATATTCCTTTGTGGTACTAAAAAAATACATGCTTAGAACCAGGTCCAGTGATTCATATTTCTAATCAACCCTAATAGCAAAGCTGAGGCAGGAAGATTGCAAGTCCAAAGAATTTCTAGGATACAGAGTGACTCCAAGTACAGCCTGGACAACCGAGTGAGACCCTGCCTCAAAATACGTAGTAAGACTAGGGCTGGGGATGCAGCTTATTGGCAGAGTGCCATCCTGGCAGCACTCTGTTTAATTTCAAGACTGAAGAGAAACTGTACTGAGATTGAGTAATAATTTACATTTGAATCTATAGGGTCAAGTTCTTGTTTTCATCTTTTAATGGTCTCTCACTTGTCATTTTGCTCCAGACATGCAGACATTTTACTTTCTCCTGAAGTATATCATTCATCTGTCTTTGGGGATATGGGGGTACAGGAGAGCTCATTTTTCTTGTTTTAACAAGCTTATATTTCTCTTCACATGGTTGTGTCAACCGATGAGTACTTAGCAACACCTCTGACCACCAAACCAACAGCTCCTAATTGTGACCCCAATATCTCATTTTTTTTACTTCCTTTATTTAAAGTTCTGGGGGAAGGTGAATGAGATGTTTTACCTTTGCTGTTGAATATGTGCTGTGTGGAGGAATATCTGTACTCAATATTAGTAAAAGTCAGAAGAAAAGTATGTGAAAAAACGGTGTTAGAGTAATGAATGCAAATACTATGAATGGAATTTTACCATCTGAGTAGATGTTTGTACAGGACAATCATCCCTATTACTGAGCAACAGTTAATGGGCTTGTGACTTTGAATCTTTACCTTGGTAGACTTTCTGGAAGATAGTATATCCTGTGATTCTGGGCTTTGACAGTATGTTGAAGAAGGTTTCCATTTTTCTATTATAATGATCTTAGTCTATTATTTCACTTTTCTCTGAATTCTAGTGTATAAAAAGGATTAATGGTAATTGCTTCTATCTCTAATAACTATTGAGTTGATTAAATATTGAATTGAATATAACAGAGATAAAGTGTTCAAGATTGAGTCTCTCAAAATATATACATAACCTTAATGCTCAGATTTATTACTTAGATTTGAACTGCATGAAATTTTTAGCTTACATTTCTAAACCATTCCCATCAATGGAACTATGTTACATGTAATGCTTATGTAGGACACATATAGTAGCTAACATAAGCCTTAATGAGGCAGTTTCAAGGTAAATTCTTCATCTCAGGTTTGCTATAGTGTTTCTCCCAGTTCCTCATTATCATTTCATCTTTACTATGAGTAAGTCACATGTATCTCATGTTGGCTTTCATGTAATATTTCTCAGACTCTTTCACAGAATCCTACACTGACTCCTCATATTGACATTATATTTACATACCTTAAATATAGATGAGAGTACCTTTGAGTGATTTTTTAACTAAGGCTGATTTGATGATGAATAAAATTATATTCCAGAATGCAAAAATCTGTGACCCTAAAAACAATTTTCCCAAGGCAAAAAAAATAAAAATAAAGATAAAGTTAAGACTGAGACAGAAGCCTAGCATGCACAGGAATTTCCATTCACCGGCTCCCCCCTCACAATAATGTCTAGTGTACTAATAAAAAATGCATATATATGTGTGCTGTGGGATGGTCTGTATGTCAAATGTGTTGCTGATTGGTCAATAAATAAATCACTGATTGGCCCGTGGCCAGGCAGGAAGTATAGGTGGGACAAGGAGGAGAAGAGAGCTGGGAAGTGGAAGGCTGAGTCAGAGAGACACTGCCAGCCGCCATCAGGACAAGGAAGATATAAAGTACCGGTAAGCCACAAGCCACGTGGCAAAGTATAGATTAATAGAAATGGATTAATTTAAGCTGTAAGAAAAGTGAGCAAGAAGCCTGCCACGGCCATACAGTTTGTAACCAATATAAGTCTCTGTGTTTATTTGGTTGGGTCTAAATGGCTGTGGGACTGGCGGGTGTCAGAGATTTGTCCTGACTGTGGGCCAGGCAGGAAAACTCTAGCTACCTATGTGTGTATCTATCTATCTATCTATCTATCTATCTATCTATCTATATATATATATATATATACATATGTATATATACACATATATATCTGTGTAATTAGTTATTTATTATTGTTGTATGATACAAATGTTAGGAAATGTTAATAATGAGAAAGACTCTACTTGCAGAGAATAGTCGCAGATATATTATATTTATCAATATGTGTTGACTTTACAGCTATACTCTGTTTTCCAAATACAGACCATATTAGAGAGGTGGGGTTGTGGTGGATATGAGTAAAATCTGCTGTTCAGATTGGTTTTGGGACTAAATTCCCATATAATTGCATCATTTAACAGTTTCATTTCAGTATTAAAAATAAAAGTGTTCCCAATTGTTCACATGTTTTCCTTTGCACAAAAGAAAAGAGAGCTCGTTAAATGATATTGAAAATGAGTAGAGGACCTGGGCTCCGCACCAAACACTGCAAACTCTGTGTGTGTGTGTGTGTGTGTGTGTGTGTGTGTGTGTGTAAAAAGCACAACAAACTCTTTTATTCATTCAGACACCAGATATAATTTTTACAAATCAATTAACATACACATGAAAGATACTTTGAAAAATATAAAATCATGATCTTCAAAAAGTCATTGTAGTCGGACATTTCTCTCCTGCCCTCCAGTTCCCAAATCACCACTTACAGCCCTATATAAATGCCCTGCTGATAGCTCAGGCTTGTTACTAGCTAACTCTTACATGTAAATTAACCCATATTTATTGTTTATACTCTGCCATGTGTCTCATGTCTTGTTACCTCATTTTCTTTGTGTCCTGCTTCCTCTCTGACTCCATCCTTATTCCTCCCAGAGTTCTCTGTGTGTGGCTGTCCTGCCTATACTTCCTGCCTGGATACCAACTTGTCAGCTTTTTATTAAACAATGAGAGCAATACATATTTACAATGTACAAAGATTGTTCCATAACAGGTTGTGGTTGGCTATTAGAGAAATAAAATACTTGTTTGTTACTAAAGCATATTAACTTTTTAAATTGAACTCAGGACTATATTTGATCCTGAGGATGTATATTAATATTAAGAAAAAATATTGTTAGCAAAATGCTTTTCCTCTGCATGCCATTTTATTAAATTTTAGATTGCACAGCATTTAAGTATGTGTATATCACACACTTTTAGAAGATCTTAATTGTTTTATAATTGATTTGCATTTTATTTATGTGTGTATATGTGTATGTATAAGATGTATGAATGATGTGTGTGTGTTTGTGTGTGTGTGTGTGTATGTGTGTGTGTGTGTGTGTGTGTGTGTGTGTGTGTGTGTGTGTGTGCGCGTGTGTTTGTAAGTGTGCATACACCATGTGGAGGTCCATATGTGGAGGTCAGAGGATAAAATTTTGGGAATGGATTCTCTCCTTCCACCAGGGGATCTGAAACTTCAACTTAGGACTTAGGTTTGTGGGACAAAGATTGTTTTGACCTGCAGAGCCATCTCCAATATCCTAGTTTATTTGTTAGATTATTAAACAGTTTTTGTAGGAAGGCCTTACTGGCTGGTCAGAGATTGCAAAAGCTCAATGATATGGGGAAACACCCCATCACTCCCCAGAGAAACTTCCTGCTCTCCACCTGCCCTTATCTAGAGAATGTCCCTGGACCCAGATGATTGACCTTATCTGAAAGCTGTCTCTAATCCAGATGCCTGATTTATCTTTAGTCTGACCCTTGGAACAGATTCCTGCTAG